TTGGTCATATTTGGTCTAGGATTTTCCACATTTGGCCTAGGATTGGTCATATTTGGTCTAGGATTTACCACATTTGGTCTAGAATTGGTCATAGTTGGTCTAGGATTTTCTACATTTGGTCTATGATTAACCATATTTGGTCTATGATTTACCACATTTGGTCTAGAATTGGTCATATTTGGTCTAGGATTGGTCATATTTGGTCTAGGATTGGTCATATTTGGTCTAGGATTGGTCATATTTGGTCTAGAATTGGTCATATTTGGTCTAGGATTGGTCATATTTGGTCTAGGATTGGTCATATTTGGTCTAGAATTGGTCATATTTGGTCTAGGATTGGTCATATTTGGTCTAGGATTTACCACATTTGGTCTAGAATTGGTCATATTTGGTCTAGGATTTTCAACATTTGGTCTAGGATTGGTCATATTTGGGCTAGGATTTACCACATTTGGTCTAGAATTGGTCATATTTGGTCTAGGATTTACCACATGTGGTCTAGAATTGGTCATATTTGGTCTAGGATTTACCACATTTGGTCTAGAATTGGTCATATTTGGTCTAGGATTGATCATATTTGGTCTAGAATATATCATATTTGGTCTAGTATTTACTACATTTTGTCTAGAATTGGTCATATTTGGTCTAGGATTTACAACATTTTGTCTAGAATTGGTCATATTTGGTCTAGGATTTACCACATTTGGTCTAGAATTGGTCATATTTGGTCTAGGATTTTCTACATTTGGTCTAGAATTTATCATATTTGGTCTAGGATTTTCTACATTTGGTCTAGAATTGATCATAATTGGTCTAGGATTTACCACATTTGGTCTAGAATTGGTCATATTTGGTCTAGGATTGGTCATATTTGGTCTAGGATTTACCACATTTGGTCTAGAATTAGTCATATTTGGTCTAGGATTTTCCACATTTGGTCTAGGATTGGTCATATTTGGTTTAGAATTGGTCATATTTGGTCTAGAATTGGTCATATTTGGTCTAGGATTTTCTACATTTGGTCTAGGATTGATCATAATTGGTCTAGGATTTACCACATTTGGTCTAGAATTGGTCATATTTGGTCTAGGATTTACCACATTTGGTCTAGGATTGATCATAATTGGTCCAGGATTTACCACATTTGGTCTAGAATTGGTCATATTTGGCCTGGGATTTACCACATTTGGTCTAGAATTGGTCATATTTGGTCTAGGATTTTCTACATTTGGTCCAGGATTGATCATATTTGGTCTAGGATTTACCACATTTGGTCTAGAATTGGACATATTTGGTCTAGGATTTTCTACATTTGGTCTAGGATTGATCATATTCGGTCTAGGATTTGCCACATTTGGTCTAGAATTGGTCATATTCGGTCTAGAATTTTTGACATTTGGTCTAGGATTGATCATAATTGGTCCAGGATTTACCACATTTGGTCTAGAATTGGTCATATTTGGTCTAGGATTTGCCACATTTGGTCTAGAATTAGGCAGAGGGTTCTCCGAACCCGTCTATTCACATAGTTCATACCCACCATAGACTCTGGTCAGTCAAAATGACTATTTTGAACTGTAGGCATTAATCAGCGATCCTGCCAATGACGGAGAAATAGAATCTAGGTCAGGGAAAGCCCCATGACCCCAAGATTCTTTTCTCTTACGTCACGAACCACGTGTTCGAGGCCATATGGCGGCGCCATTACGGCTGGCTATTCACTCTGGTTCCTTTGTCACTGCATCAAGGACTTAGACCATTGCTACGGAAAGAGGGGGTGGTTGGGGCGACCCAGAGTCTATGGTGGGTATGAACTTTGTGAATAAGTGGGTTCGGAGAACCCTCTGCCTAAATTCACTACGTTCAATTACCCACCATAGACTCTGGTCAGTCAAAATGAGTCAGACGCCGATAAGTGGCAGGTTTTATGAGCAAACAGAAAATGATGAAAGTCT